ACGTACCGGTACGTCCACCCGAGATCCTTCGAATATCAAAATTCTCTTTCCTTTCTCTCTGTCTCCCTTTTGCCAGGATTCTGTTGAGAAAGAAAAAAAAAAAGGAACATAAAATGAGAAACATCTCCACTTTCGATTACCCTGCATATACACTGCATCCTGACACCGTCTCTCCAATTTGGGGTTGGACTCGATCTCTCTTTGCTTAGTTGCTAAAAGCAAATCCCGAACCTCCCCACGGCTCGGGATTTGCGAAGATCAAGCAATCACACGGAAGTCTCTATATCAGCGCCCTTTCGGACTCGATTTTTATTAAGCTACAGAACGCCCCGTTGCAACTAGTATTCCGTTGCAAAGACACCCGGGAGGTGCAGTTTCAAATTAATGGTGTAGATTATTTGACCCCATATTAAGTACCGCCATGGCCGATACTTTCCACGACTATAACGGACCGGCCTCGACAGCGCCTCGATCGGTTCGCAAGAAGTTTGCTAAACCGCCAGTTAAGGTGGCCTGTCTGCCCTGGTAAGCAAATCCCGCGAAGGAAAAAAAGAGGAACTTCTCCACTAATCTTATTCCAGTCGGGCTTCGAGAACACGTTGTGGCGGCCAGATGCCATGCGCGAATGTATGTTCTCTTTGTCCTTTGAGTGCTTTGGAGGCCCTTTTATTGTGGATGTCAGTTGATCAATGTTCATTGCATTGTCTAACATTCACTTTAGTGTGTTAGCAAAGACAGAGAATGCTCTTATCTACCCAGCAAACGAGGCGGGCCACGCAAAAAGAAGGAAAAGTCCTCCCTGTCGCCAGAACAGGAATCAAGACGAGATGAGGCTCTGTATAACGCTGTCCCTTCACCCCCGGAGTTTGAAGAAGGTACGTCATCGACATGCCCCAAAAAAGGGCGATATACTCATTAAAAAAATTTAGCACCGGGGATGTTCAACCAAATCGATGAGCTCTCTCTGCCTGGCGCAGGTTTGAGACATTTAGATTTCCAATCCGAAGTTCCTTCCATGTTCCAGAGCTTCTTCACTGGCGATGGTAGTCAGTCGCACATGCAAGTGCCCTTGACATCACCGCCCTTAAACAGCGCTCGAACGTTCGTAAGGACCTATGGAAGCGAACCCGAAATGTAAGTATCTCTACAATAAGTTGCATACATTGTCTAACTTGCCCAGATTGAATGCCTATTATGACTTCATTCATAACTATTTCCCCATTCTTCCACCACGGGCATCACCACCGTGCCGGGATCGACCATTAAACTGTTCTGTTCCATGTTCGAATACATCTGAACCGATGATGATGTACCGGCCTCGTTCACCTCTAAGTCTTGCACTATCTGCAGTCTTGGCTTTGATTCCGCATCCAAGTGATCTTGAGCCATCGTCCGCAACGTCTGTAGTCCAGCGCAGAACATACGCGCATGCTTTCGCCCAACTCGCCCATTCAACAATTGAAGCGGAGTGTGATCTTGATATATCCTCGACTGATCCCGGTCAGGCATTGTCTGCCGCGCGACCTTTTGTTGGACGTGAAAGATTCCACTCGCAAACTCCGGTGGACTATGAGAGCCTCCTGGCTCTCTTGGTGCTTTCAGTTTATGAATACGCCCAACGCGGCAACTTGCTCAAGATGCGGTATCGTGCTGGCCAGGCTCTCGCAATTGCTTTGGACAAGTCAATGCATGCGCAAATGGAGAATGATGAATTCTCGGAAGCTCGACGGAGAGCCTGGTGGATGACGGTTTGTATCCCTCCTCTTTCACTGGTTCGTTTTGGTTCCTGATCTAATTGTTTCTTTTAGTATTATTGTGTGATTCAAGGATCTATTGTTAGCACGACAGTGAGTAATACAGGTCTCCAAACATTACTGGAGCTGATGAAGAACCAGATGCCTGCTATCGTTATCAATGACCCGCAGTTCACGACTCCATATCCGTCGTTTGCATCAGACGCCGAGGTATGCACTCGAAGACCTCTTCATTATCTTCCGTCCGCTAACCGGTCTTCAGGGTTGGGCTATTCTGATACAAGCTCAACAAGTGCTTGTATCGGCAACCCAGTTTATCGGCGATCTGAACAAGTGCCTTTCGTCCCAATCAGGGATGTACTACATGTTCGAACGAATGCAGCAACTTGATGCATGGACCCATTCTGTGATTGCACAGGCGGAGCTACTCCCCCTTATACCCCAGACATCAGATTTCGGCGATCACAACGAATCCATCACAGCCCAAAGCATACGTGCAATATCCCGAATCAAACTATCTAGGTTCGAGTCATTCGCCTTCTCACACCTAAATTCAACTAACAATGACCCCCAGTGCCCAAATAAAAACGCACCGCTTCCGAGCCTTCTCAGACATCCCCCTCTTCATCAAAAAACATTGCGACCTGACATCAGCAAATCCAAACAGCGCCACCACAACCGTCAGCACCAAAGCCGCCGGCATCCACAACCTCACCTGCTCCTGCTCAAACCTAAACTCCTTCGAACGAGCAGCTTCAACAGAATATATGACCCCATCCGATTCTTCCACCTCATCAGACATCCACCCTGAAATCAACTCATACGCGCCCCAGTACTCTCAATATCCATTCGCGGCGGGGTTCCCCTACAGCACCCAGCACTCCGCGAAAATCTGCCTTCGCGCCGCACTCGTCATCTCCCGCATGTTCCACAGCCTGCCAGTCCCACAGCCTCTCTTAGATCCCCAGCAGCAGCAAGGTCGTCCATTGCCCCGGACCATGCCATCCTTCGCATGCTGTCTGATGCAAAGTAGCTATGCTATGTTCATGCTTTACTACAAAGCGCGCGTGGCGAAGCAGCTTGCGCCTGAACCAGAGAATGAGCATTGCGGAGATTCGACTGGCCAGCTCATTGAGGAACTACGGCAGGGTTTGGAGCGGATCATTGGGGCCGTGTCGAATTATTCGCTTGCTTTTGAGGCCCTCGATGGAATGAGAGGTTGGTGTTTTATCTTCATCTGATATGCGGTCCTCACGCTAACATTGTTTTAGATGAAATCGAAGGTGCATATAAAACGGCGTTCCCACTAGCATCTGTTTAACCGGGGAGGGGTGGCGGGGTTCCTTTTTTCCCTTCGGTCGTTCTGAGCTTTTTTCTCTCTGGCACTTTCAAGCCTGCCAGTTTTTATAATGATCCCCTCCTCTCTTTTCACGACTGGATTCTCCACTATTCTCGTTCTGTGCCCAACATAATCGCGGTGCTTTGACATCTCAGATATAATGCAAATATTTTTCCCTTCGTTGGTAGACAAGTTTATACGCATACGAAATACAACTTCTACCACGATTCGGCCATCGGTCCTGGACCGATAACAACGTGTATCCGCTGTTGCTCTCCATGCGTACCATAATTGTCTTTACATACAGGCCGGCAGCAAGCACGCAAGAGAACGTGGATGAACCGCTAGTGTCAAATCTCCATCCAAGCAAATACGTTCTATTTAATTCTGGACTAACAAGTCTAGAGTTTGGACCGGATACCTTCTAGTCTAAACTTGACATCTTTCAGAACCTTACTAGAAGGTTTCCAGTCGTCGAATTGCCTGAGTAATTCCATAGTCTCGTCGTGCAGTTCCCGGCGCACATATTCCTCTTCTAGCAGACCGCGCATGGCGAAGGGGAGAATGTACGGGTTCGGTGTGACGGAGCTGTTGGCTCGCTTGACGCTGAGCGCGGAGCCTGCGACGGAAGAAGTCTCCAGTGCGAATTCTATGGCCATGCTGTAAGATGATGTCAGTTCTGGATGCTTGTAGGGGTCCATGACTGTTACATACAAGTACACGGCTTCATCGTCGTACAGGCGAGAATGTCCCTCTCCTGAGTATAGACTACCTGCTAACGGGGTGCTTAGTTCGCGGATTAGACCGTGGTCTGAGATACCAAGGTTGCGAAGCTTAAGCGCGAAGCCAACTAGATGAGAGAGGCTGTGTTTGGGTTTAGCTTTGTCGGTCGGGATGGGTTGCTGAGGGGGTTGCTTACAAGCTTGGGGCGTGGACTCGGCCATCCACAAAAACAGCGCGGTATACGTAAGGGTGGGCTATGGGCGAGAAGAGGGATGACTGGGAGGCGAGTTAGCAATCTGATTGATGCTTGAATATCAAGATCCGTATTTACCTCCAGTGAAACGAGTTGGTCGTCGATACTTCCGATGTAAGAGATGCGAACACCAAAATTGAGAGCACATCTAAGAGCAGCTTCATACTCTTTCGAGACGTTGCTGAAAGGCAGCGCAAACTCGAACAGCTCTCCAGCCGACCCACTGATCCATCGAGAGCGATAATCCGGGAAGGGGCCGAGGTTCACACCTGCCATAGCGCAGACGCCGACTCGTTTACCGTCAAGACAGCCGAATTGTATCAACTTTGCAACTAGCATAATCGTTACTGGCACACCTTGACTGTGACATGCGAACATGATGAAATCAGCCTTGCGGATCTCCTCCATCCAATTCAGAAGTAGCTTCCACAGGAGATCCACTCGCTCTGTAATGCGGCCTTCTCCCTCCAATGCGATCTTTTCAATATCGCAAGAGTAGCCATGGCTCTCGGTGTACTTCCCAATGGCATCTGCTGCCATTTTGGAGAACCGGATGGATGTCCCCGTGGGCTGTCCGAGTACACTTCGAATGAAAGGGGCGGGGAAATATCCATGAACACCAATAGCCAAAGCGCGTTTCACATGCAGCGGATCTCTGACCCTGCTGACGTGCCTAACCTCTGGTCCTTTCCCATAATGCAGGAGTCGACCGAGGCTTTGCAAGATGGAGGGCGATTGCTCGAACGCGTAGGTTTCTTCAAATTTCGGCAGTACTTGATTGGGGAGAATCTGCTGTAATTGTTTTGCGGCGGTGATATCGGCTGGTCGAGGTTCAACATGCGACGTAGATGTAGCAGTGCCTTCAGTGGTGGCCCCATATCCATCTTTGAGACGGTTATCCTTTGAGGGCTTGATTTTGATACTGCCTTTCTGGGTTATCTTGGTATTTGAATCTGTATCTGGTTCAAGCGCTATATGTTTTGATGGGGATTTCGGTCCCATTGGCGCCTCGATAGCTTCGCCTTCCTGCGGTTTATTGGAGGGTCCATCTTTGTTAGGATCTTTCGACCAGAATGACCAGCCAGATGATCTCGTAGTTCCGACCGGTGTCCGGGATCCGCCAGCTGATTCTGCTGGCTCATCAGGGGAATCTGGCGGTGCCATGTCTGTGTCAGGAGCCTCGGTGGAATTGTAATTCACGGAAGGGGAGATCGTGGATTCTGTGGATGGTGGGCCTTCTTGCTTGCTCGGTGTATTTGTACCATACCACATCTGAAGCCACGATCGCTTCTGGGATGTGGCAATAACTTCAACAGTGTCTTTGGCCTGCTCTGGTTCCGGTTCGAGCTCTTCTTCCCGTGCTGCATAGTCTGTCACGGTAGGTTGAGCACCCTGCTCTGCCATTTGGCTTTCGGCTAACGGGTTTCCCACGGCTTGTGTAGATCCTGTGACATTCACAAGACCTTCAGATATAGTCAATGGTCTATAGATCCATGAGAGCCAACCAGCAGATTGTTCGGGGCTTTCTGCAGATCCCGCATGCAATCTGCTGGGATCGGCCTTAGGGGTGGCCTGTTGCTCCTTGGCTGGTTCCTCTAGCGGCTTGATATCACTCTCGTCGGGTGCTTCTTTAATGGACGTTGCCGGTTCTACAGCGCTGTGATCTTCGGTATCCTCGGCAGCCGTGGTGGAAGCCGAACCATCCGAGGCAATGTTGACTCGGGTGGTGGTAGCGTCAGCGGGCAGAGACCTCGTCGAGGCGCCCGCTTTTCGCGTAAGTTGAATGGACGGGTGCCGGTTCTTTGTTGGGGTATCAAGAAGAGAAGCAGCCGATGAGTTCGTGACGTTCGGTGATACAGATTTGGCTGCTGAAATGCTCTCACGGGCAACCTCGGTAACTGGCGCTGCTTTGACCACTCTCGCAATATAAGACCAGGACCCGGGGTACCAGCTCTATGTGAACGATAGATTATCAGCAAACATGACAAAAGGACTGGTTATTTTTGTCACAAAGAGCTTACGGCATTGTACCCCCGTGATTGGGAGGCTGAGCGGTCTCGGCCATCACCGCTCAGTCCAGCGGGTGAGTCCACGCCGGAGGGGCTGGTCTTCACTCTCTTGCGAGATCCCTTGGGCGTCATGGAGGTAGGGTGAAAACATCAGGTCTATAGTTAGACGGTCAAACCCAAGTGACAGAGCATCTACAAAGCGCCACAAGTGACTGGGGGGTGCCTGAGTGATATCACGTCACATGTCTGGCACTTGACTTGGCCTCAGGCAACAAACTGGAGAACCTGCTCAAAGGCGGTGAGCGATAAGTATTGCAACTTTTTTTTCTCGGATTCTCTTCCATAGAAAAAGTATACATTCGTTCGATTTCCCCGGTCATTTTAAAAGGATCTTCTGGTCTTAATAGACCAGCTTTCCTTCAAAATGGCGATCCAGAAAAAGGTATTTTCTATTGCGTGTCACCTTGCATTACGTCATCTACTGACTACATATTTACAGCATGGAAAAGGTCGTTTGGATAAATGGTACCGACTTGCCAAAGAGAAGGGCTACAGAGCTCGTGCTGCGTTCAAGTTGATCCAATTGAATCAGAAGTATGGGTTCTTGGAGAAAAGCAGAGTTTGTATCGATCTTTGCGCTGCGCCTGGTGTAAGTATCCTCAAATGGCGTCTTCTATCCTCAGTCTTTTTCTAACGGCTAAGTAGTCATGGTGTCAAGTCGCTGCAGAGTATATGCCTGCTCAGAGTCTTATCATTGGTGTCGATCTGTCTCCCATCAAGCCAATTCCTCGAGCCATTACTTTCCAGAGCGATATCACAACGGACAAGTGTCGCGCAACGATTCGATCTCACATCAAGCACTGGAAAGCAGACGTCGTGCTTCACGATGGTGCCCCCAACGTCGGTGCTGCGTGGGTTCAGGATGCTTTCTCCCAGGCAGAACTAGTTTTGGAGTCCCTGAGACTGGCTACTGATTTCTTGGGCGAGGGCGGAACCTTTGTTACGAAGGTCTTCCGGTCCAAGGATTACAACCCCCTGCTGTGGGTTTTCAAGCAGCTGTTCAATTCCGTCGAGGCAACCAAGCCTCCTTCGTCACGAAATGTCTCTGCCGAAATTTTCGTCGTTTGCCGCGGATTCAAGGCCCCCAAGCGCATTGACCCGAAGTTCCTCGACCCGAAGCACGTCTTTGCTGAACTTGCGGCTCCCACTCCCAACTACGAAGCGAAGGTTTTCAACCCGGAAAAGAAGAAGCGCAAGCGTGAAGGTTACGAAGAAGGAGATTATACCCAGCACAAGGAGCTCCCAGTGACAGAGTTCATCAACACTATGGATCCCATCTCTATATTGGGTGCCTACAACAAGCTTAGCTTCCAGCAACCGCCAGGTGGGGATCTTGCGTTGTCCACACTCGACCGTTTGGAGGAAACAACAGAGGAGATCCGAACTTGCTGTGAGGATCTGAAGGTCCTGGGCAAAAAGGAGTTCCGCAACCTGCTTAGATGGCGTATCAAGTGTCGTGAGAAATTCGGACTTGTCATCAAAAAGAAGCCAACCCAAGAAGGCGAGGCAGAGGAAGTGGCCGAGGTGGCCCCTATGGACGAAGAACTGCAGATCCAGGAAGACTTGATCCGCATGCGAGAGCAGCAGACCGCCAAAGGCAAGAAGGAAAGGCGCAAGGAGAATGAAAAGAAACGCAAGGATATCCTTCGAATGCAGATGAACATGACCACCCCCACGGATATTGGTATGGAGCAGCTTGGTATGGGAGGCGAAGACTCCACATTCACTTTGAGACGCATCGACCGAGAGAATGCGAGAGATGCGGTTGTCAATGCTCGTGATCTTCCCGCCGAGAGCGAAAGTGAAAAAGAAGGTGACTCCGAAACTGAAGAGAGCGACGACGAGGAGGACCGCCTCGAAAGGGAGCTCGACAACATGTACGAGCAGTACACTGGCCGCATGGAGGACAAGGATTCGAAATTGCGTGCTAAGAAAACACGCAAGCAATACGAGGTTGACGAGTGGGAAGGCTTTTCTGACAGAGAGAAAGGCAGCAGCGATGAGGAAGACGGGGAGGAGGATGAAACTGCCACCACAGATCAAGCAGTTCAGGCTAAGAAACTTTCAAACAATGCCTCCTTGTTTTTCGACCAAGATATCTTCCAAGGGCTAGAAGAGGGCGAGGATGAGGAGGAAGAAGAAGAAGAAGAGGAGGCGGAGGAGGAAGAGGAAGAAAGCGACAACATCTTTGCGATGGATGAAGATGAAGAGGAAGAGGAGAAGACTCCTGCCCCTAAGAAAAAGAAAAATAAGGACGCAAAGAAGGACGCAAAGAAGAACTCTGAGTGGGTCGACGACTCCGATGAGAGCGAGGCAGAGGCAGAAGGAAAAGATCCGCTAAAACCGAATGGCCAGCTGGGTAAGTTGCAAATTAGCGCCAAACATAAATAGCGTTCTGACTAACATTTGTTCCTCCCCTACAGACATCGACATCATTACAGCAGAAGCCATGGCCCTTGCGCAGTCAATGGCTACTGGAGAAAAGAGGTCGACTGACATTGTTGACGATGGCTTCAACCGATTTGCCTTCCGCGACGTGGATGGCCTTCCCGAATGGTTCCTTGACGACGAGGGCAAGCACAGCAAGCCTGTCCGGCCCGTCACCAAGGCTGCCGCGGCTGCTATCAGAGAAAAGATGCGTGCCATCAATGCACGCCCGATCAAGAAGGTGATGGAGGCCCAGGGACGCAAGAAGTACAAGGCGGCTCAAAGACTGGAGAAACTGCGCAAGAAGTCTGCGCTTCTGGCAGAGGACGATGCTCTCAGCGAGCGGGACAAGGCCGGCGCCATTGCGAGATTGATGAGCAGGGCAACAAAGAAGAAGCCCAAGCAGGAAGTCAAGCTTGTGGTTGCCAAGGGTCCCAATCGTGGTATCTCTGGCCGTCCTAAGGGTGTCAAGGGCAAGTACAAGATTGTCGATGCTCGTATGAAGAAGGATGTTCGTGCGGAGAAGAGACTGGCAAAGAAGAAGTCGAAGAAATAGAGGGTGTGTTCATAGTTCAAATGTTTGAGTCAAGACAATTTACAACTAGAATATGAGAACCTGTGAAAATGACGCCGAAAATGACCGCTTTTGAGGCCAGAAACGGCCGCCTTTCCACCAGACCGCCCACTGCCCTGTAACACCACTACTCTGCATTATTCGATTTACTTCTTATTTATACTATTTACTATATACATGTAATCTACCGTTTTTTATAGCTTGAATGGCATTGTAGTTTGGAAACATTAAGTTGCTATGGAGATGCAAATTTTAGGGGCCGTGATCACGTTACTGAGATGATGATTTTGACTGGCGAGGTGGGTTGGTGGTCTTGGGCATGGCTAATACGGAGTAGCATTTTCGAGGTTTCAGCCACATGGACATTTCTTGCATCTTTAAACCTTTCCACATCTTGAAGTCATGGGCTTTCCACTACCACTGGAGTTGATACAGACTGTGTTGGAGTTCATTATTGCCGAGGAGAACGCCAACGTGCCCCCATATGTCACTCAGAACACCAATTTGGCCCCATATGCCACTGTCAACCGCGACTGGCAGGCAATTATCGAGAGGCAAACCTTTTCAAGCATCAAGATCAACACAAACAAGCGACTAGCAGAGTTCAAACAATTACCATGGGACCAGTTATCATGGAGCCAAAGAAGAAGCCATATAAGGGAAATCCATTTCATCGTGGAGCTGGAGTCGTATGATGGCGAGGCTCGCACACTGTACGAAAATGAAGAGGAGATGCAGCGAAACAGCAAAGTTTTTACCACTTCAATTCAGTCACTATTCAATGCCCTATCCGAATGGCCGGACAACGAAGCGGGCATCAGTCTTTCGATTATGGCGCAGTCCCCCGGCGATATTAGCGCCCAAGGTCCCGAGGCAAGGAAGCAGCGCGGGTGGGGAAAATCACGTCTCTTAACTGATGACATCTGGGACAAGCGATATGAAAGATCGTAGCTCCAATTCAACGAGGAAGCCGCCGGTGCTTAATGTCGAGCTGTCCCTATAATCACTAGTCTTAATATTATGGGGGCGATGGGTCATAGGAAACTCGAGCCAGCCTCCAGTTCTCTCATCGCGTCGAAGTTGCCTCGACTACACGATCTGTACCTTACCTTGGATGATACTTGCAAATGGGATCCCCAATTAAGAGAACGTCGACGGAATAGTATGCCAGATACAGATTCCAGGATGATGCTCGGATATATACTAATAATTCATAAAGAATTTGCGGACTCTATTCAGTCTTTGCCTCTTGCTATACGCGATCTCACCCTTGATTTCGCCTATTCAACCCCAGAAGATGAAAATTATCCTCCAGCGGCTTCAACGGTAGAGGGAAACACGGATCCTCTAAGCTCGCGTTTACGAGAATTTTCCCAGCAATTGACAGTGATAGGTGGGAACCAATGCGTCTTGGGAAAAGAACTTTTCTGGCCGTTGAATGGTGATACTCCTGAACCTCCCTTTTGGCCACATCTAACTGGTGTGAGCGTGGATTATATACCCGTCACGCCATGTGGGAAATGGATGTTTGAACAAGACGACGACGCCGAGGAGCCCGATTGTGATTCAGATGGTCTTGGCTCCTACTATGATGATATGGACGACACCGATCAGGATTGGGTTTCTCCAGAGGACCGCAACTGCAGACTATTCCGAACCAAATTCGTGCACGAATTGTTCAACCAATATTATCTATCAGCTGGCAAGGCTGCTCTTCGGATGCCTAAACTAGATTCCATGTTATTGGACGTTTCGCACCGACCTCAACACCGGTTTTGGTATCAGGTGGAGAACGAAGTGGCGAAAGTGACCTGGTCCAGTGAGGATGACCCCAAAGCATTCGAACCAAGCGATGAGGTCTTGCAAATTTGGAATCAAGTTGCTTTGAAACACAGCGGCCATGGCCTAGAGGTTGAATTCGAATTATGTTAAGGTAGGAAATTGAGAGAGAAGCCAGAGCAGAAATAAGCATGTATTCGTGCTAAATCTGATGTTCCAAGGTTGAAGAGAAGGATGATGACAGCGATATATATATAGATATTTATCTACGGACAAACCAAGAAGTTCTCGCATACGGCCCGCCCGAGCCATACCTAGTAGGCCACCGAAAGAAATTGTATTGTTCAAGGTTCCGTCCACTGCAATGGCGTTTTTCGCGTCATTAATCCCCCTGCGTGTCACCCCACACCTTGAACAAGCCTTTTTGCGCCTTTAAATCATTTTTCTCGACGGATATATATAGTTGTTACTCATCGGTACGTCCGTGTATACTACTCGATCGATGGTCAAGTGGGTGCAAATCTACCAAAAACTAAGGTCGGAAAGGGGTCGGTATTGTAGTTGTTGGTGATGTTTTAAGTTTGATCGTAGGCGAGTAGGAGTTTGGTTGCAAAAGGTTTCGACTTCGGTGGAGATATTTTGAGAAGAAAAAGATTTGCTCGCTGGCCTGATTATAGCGCGGTGGTGTGATGGAGCGACGGTATGAAAGTGCCACGAAAGTGCGATGACCACGTTCCTCTGTCAGAGGAGGCTAGTGGGCAGCAAGGCCTGCTATCCTCCCTTCTTCCAGCAATATCAAAGGCCCAGATGGACGTTTAGCGAGGAATCACACCCCAATGAAGGGGCAGAGGGGGAAACAAGCATGCATTTGTACTGATGAGGATAAAAGAGAAAGGCAGAAACAGACACACACACACAGAGAGAGAGAGAGAGAGAGAGAGAGATCTACGAACAAACAGAGAAGGTTCTGTACGTAGGGAGAGCCTGAGGCCACCGAAAGATTTGGTGTATAATAAAGAAATCCCGTAATGGCCAACATATATTGCACTTATATTCGAGTATGTATCAATTCCAACGGTTGAGGTTCCGCGAGAAGAGAACAAACCTGACCTAAGATCGTACGCCGATGCAGTAAGCCTCATTCAACCAGAAGCTGGTTGCGACAAATATGGTGAGCAAGAAGATACTTTCATGAGCCGGAAGAATAGAAAACTTACTTTTCGCAGGCGTTGTTCAAGGCCGTATTCCAATTATCTATGCAAATGGTTAATATCAAGTTGAGAATCTATTTTAAGGGCTGGAGATTCCTCACAAAGTTGGTCAACCGTGATCATTGTTGCGAGTGGCGAACACCTCACATCCATCACCATCCTGGGCCACGTCATATGCGTTGCAACTGGATATAACGCCCGCCTGGGTTGGTGCTGGTGGAGTAACAGTTCCTTGACTTGAGCTAGTCATCACAGTGGGGCTCGTCGTGATTGCCGCAGTCGAGGCTTTAACACAGTACGCTTCATCTGCCCATAGGCCGACGCAGTCATCTGCAGTTTAGATAATTGATTAGACACCTCAGTGGTCTGGCAGAGATAAAAGAGTTCAAGGCACATACCTCCAACGGCCGGGTTCCAAGCATTGAACTGGGCAAGTGTGATGCTATATTCTGATGCAATCGCTGCACATGAGTCATCCTTCTGAGCCACATACCATTCTTCGCAATCGGCTACAATGCCGGACTGTGTCGGAGCAGGGGCCCCTCCAGTAGAGGAAGTTGTGGAAATGCTGGCTGAAGTCGTGCTCATGTTATAGCTGACGGTAGACCAGCCTTGTCCCATCACACAATACTGTGAGTAATCGTATGAGTTCCTTTTCAGTGCGATGGTCATGATGTGTTGACTCACAGGAGTGTTCATCCAGAGATTAGTGGAATCCGAACCTGGAAAGATGTTAGCAGAACAGACCATATAGTTTGGGTTGCGTGAACGAACCGATACTTGGATTCCACTCATACAGTGACGAGAATGGAATGTCGAATATCTTACAGATTGAGTCGCAGTCATCACCTTTGGTTAGGTTGTGTCGATTTAGTAAGTTCCCGCCAGCTCTTGGATTCACGTGAACTGACCTTTATGGTGTCATACCAATCGAGACATTCGGTCGTTGCATTAAGTGTGGCATCAGTCGGGACTGGAGCCCAGGCCATCGTCGTGGTTGCATTCACTTGGTTATAGAGGATATTCAGATGGGCGTTCGGCTGTTCATGGCAAATTGCAAAGTAAGGGACTGACAAGTTTGATTGTAGAAGGAACCACAGTATCGCGTCTCGTTCGTCAGCTTACAATTATAAATCGTGTAATCCTCCCCATTCAAGATACTCGGGTTCCAAAGTAAAAAGTTCGTCACACTAACACCGAACATTGTCGCCGCTTCATGACATCCAAGGGCACCCATATCGTTATTGAAAGACTCGAAACATTTGTCCAGGGAGCCGGAGGCAAGTGGATAAGATGAAGTCGTCGTAGTGAAGTTGTATACAGGTCGAGTGGCCGTTGGGAGATCGGTCCAAGTAATGGTAGGATCAGGCACAAAAATTGCAGATGAGGTGGTTGCAGTGGCATATCCTGAATATGTCGATATATCACCCACGGCCTGCACACAATAAGAATAACCTGAATCTATAAGCCCAAGCTAGAGTACGAGGACAGGAGCAGAACCGAGTACCTATCCAAAAAGAGGTTCGTGCAGTTGGCGTTGAGCTCCGGGTTGAGGAATTCAAAGTCCTCCAGACTGATTCCATTCTGGACAGAAATCGAAGCACAGTTGTCTAGATCATGAGCAGGACTCATATTGACAGAAAACAAAGCTCACCATCATCGACAACGCTATACCACTTCGCACAATTTGTGTTTGATCCATCGACAGCGTTGGTAGGGATAGAAACAGCAGTTGCGGTGCTAGAAGCTTCATAAGACGTAGTCGGCTCAACATAGCCCACATTATTACCGAGGCAAATCACATGGCCAATCTTTGTAGGCCAATTGGTACATACGGGATCGATTGTTGGGTTCCATGAGAGAAGTTGTGTTATGGTAATGTTATGAGCGCCTGCAACACCAGCAAATGTATCGTTTCGTTGAACAAGATAGGGCTCACAAGTTCCCTGCACACAGAGGTTTGTGAGGCTTCCCGGCCAATTGACACAGCCACCGACCAGTCCGTTGACCATCAAAAGCTGGTCAGTTGAAATCGAATTGGCCTCGGCAAATTCACAAGTGGTACCAGTTGGGACAGGTACATATGATCCTGTGCATTTAGCGCCAAGGAACGCCAAGGAACGCGGGATCGCGTGGTTTCCCCGAGTGGCGCCTTAATCGATAAGCCTTCTTCTCTTTTCTTTTCTTCTCCCACATCCACCTTACTCGCATTATACTTCTTATATTCTTTGCCTTGTTTTTATTGCATACTTTGCATACATTATTTTCTTTCTGCATTAGTTTGTTTATATCTATCCTTATCCATATGGGCTTTTTCGACCACCTTCAGAAAGGAGGGGCCGGAGCCTTCTCTCTACAACCAAAGAAGGCGCAAATTCGCAAGGTTGTGCAGACTCGACCTGCAGCTCCTACACGATCGGTCACACAACCCTCGGAGACTCGATCACCTCGAGTCCAGTCCTCGACGGAGCGGAACCGAAATGCGCAGACGTTGAAGTCTCGATCGGTCTCCAGTGACCTGGAAGCACGCTCGGCCAAACGACTCAGTACTTCCTCGCGCATTCGAAAAAGGCCGACGCCCGAACAACGGCTCTCGAGCGATGATGACGCGAGCGATAGCGAGGCCTCCTTTGAAGTGCACAAACGCGCGAGGACCAGCGCCAGCGCCGAACCCGACCCGGAGCGGCGTCTCCGCTCGGCGAAGGCGTTCTCGGAAGAAGGATCTCGCCCGTTTAAAATGATACATGCCGCGGATATAACGTCGGGTCCGAAGGCCGGCAAGTTCAAGCCCGCCTTCGGTGCCGAGGGCAAACCCAAAGAGATTCTCCTGCAATATCCGAGTGCTTCGCAGCAGGAGAGGTACGTTTGATTGGAATATTGATTTATTGGCACTGGTATGCTAATTTATTTGTCGGTCAGATATGACTCTGTGGTTCCTCGCGAAAATGACGAATTCAGACCCATCGACGATATTGTTCAGGTCATCGAAACGGTCTCCGATAATTACATCCCTAGCGAGGAGGCGGATCAATTCAACGACGAGACGACCGGGATCAAGCGTCGATTACGTCGGGCACTGGCTGTAAAATCCGAGACCCAATTTCGGGAAGCTGTCGATGATTACAATAAGGCTATCCAGCGGTTAAGGAGCAACGGGAGTCTTGCGAAGTATTTGGACGCGAAACAGGGCATTTGTTTACCTTGGGTGGAAAGAATTCTCACTCAAATTTACTCCCGCACGGTATCCCCTCAAGTGGAGTCTCTCCGGCAATACGAGAATGGCACGGACAACGTCTACGGAGAACTTCTCCCTCGCTTTATCAGCACAATCTTCAAAGAAACCAAGCTCAAATCGGAGCAGGTCTTTGTCGATCTTGGCTCGGGCGTAGGTAATGTCGTTCTTCAGGCGGCACTTGAGGTTGGCTGTGAGAGCTGGGGTTGTGAGATGATGTCAAACGCATGTGATTTGGCAGATTTGCAGCAATCCGAGTTCAAGGCCCGATGCCGGCTGTGGGGCATTGCACCAGGCAAAACTCATCTTGTCCGAGGTGACTTTCTTGAGCAGGAGAGTATTACCAGCGTCTTGAAGCGGGCTGATGTGGTGCTCATTAACAACCAGGCTTTCACCCCACAACTGAACAATGAGCTGATCAACCACTTTTTGGACATGAAAGAAGGCTGCAAAATTGTCTCGCTCAAGTCTTTTGTTCCGGCTGGTCACAAAATCCAATCTCGCAACCTTAACTCTCCGATCAATCTCCTTAAGGTCCAGCAGAAGAATTATTGGTCGAACAACGTGAGCTGGACCGACGTTGGCGGTACATATTTCATCGCCACTAAAGACAGCTCTCGGCTGAAAGCCTTCATTGACAATATGTCATAGTCTTGAATGGCTGCTTGGCTTGATATCTTGGCCTGGCATATATATTTTCTTTTTCGTTT